CAAGTGATATTCACGGACGAGGTCTGATATTTCGCCTGATGGTAAGACTGCAGACAACTATCAGCTCTCACCAAGACATCTACTACATCTCACGTAGACGTTCTTCAATTGCCTGTTTCACAATCATCCCCTCAAGCTTTGAAATCTGCTCGTCGACATCTGCAGACAGGTTTCAAACCTTGGCCCTTCTTCTACCTCTCCTTCTCTGCCTCCCCCAGGGTTTCTCCCCTCCTCCTCACCGAGCTGCAATGTCGTCAGCACATGGAGAGCACGCGTCAAACACGAGATCTCGTCTGTGATGGTGGTCGTCATCCATCACGATCCTCCTGACCTCTCTCTCTCTCTCCTCACCTCGAAGATGAGAGTTGTGCTTTGTGTAAGAAGACATCTTCTTCTCGCTCTGTTGTCTGTGGTTCAGCTAGTGCGGCCACGAGCACATCAGTCTCGACACGACATGTACCTGACGTAGTTCCTTCAAAGTGTGGGAGATTCTCTCTTCAGATTGCTGCTCCCATCGTCAGCATTGTAATCATCATCACACATCATCATCTCAATCATCATCATCATCATCTCCATCATCATGAAGATCAAGACGGTCGCAAAATCGATGCAGCAGCTTGCGAGGCTGGTAGGAATGCTGTAGCACCACCAAAGTCATCACAACAGACGCAAGAGATACAAACCGCAAGTATGGAGGCAAGTATGGAGAAGCTGGAAGCTGGATCAGGAGATGTTGAAATGGCTCTGGAGCTTCAGGTAAACAAGTCACTCTCGGGTGCTGGTGCTGGTCAAGAATCGAAAAGCTCAGAAGAGAAATCCAGCCATATGTCGCCATCCAACCAGACCTCGAGCAGCTCCATGGCAAGACAGCACGTGATAGACCAACTGGAGCAAGCGAGCAGCGCAGAGGAGATCGTGAGAATCTTGAAGGAGCTGCAAAGACCTGAAAACAAGGGCGAGATGAAACAAAGAGAAATAGAGATTGTCATAAGAGCAATGGGAAAGAAGAATGTGAAGGCACATCAATCCAGTGAAGATATACAGGTGCTCGCATGCGGAATACTGGGAGACCTGGCAAAGACAGGCCCCAGATTAAGGGTGGATATTGCAAAACACAAAGGCATCGAGGCCGTGCTCGCAGCCATGCGTGCACATCCCGCCGGCCAGCCTGTACAGCAGCAGGCGTGCGGGGCGCTGGGGAGCCTGGCTGTCAACGCCGACAACCAGGTCAAGATCGCGGGGCTCGGGGGCATCGAGGCCGTGCTCGCAGCCGTGAAGGCTTTCTTGTCGAGCGAGGATTTGCTACCAGTGGCTTTAAATCTTCTTGCTTGTTTCAGTTCAAAAGAAAGCAAGGTGATTTTTTTTTCTCGGTATTTCATCACTCATATCTTGTTATTCGCAGAGTCTGATGAGAGAGCTTGGTGCAGGAGACCTTGTCTCCTCTGCAATGAAAAGGTTTGAGCAGAATGCAATCATACCAAACATTGGAAAGATTGTTCTCGAATGGCTGCAATAGAGAGCTGCAATGGTGTCCTTCAGTTGTTGTCTGAATACCCATCTATGTTACGTAGCGATGGAGATCAGCAAGAGAAGAAAGAGCCTTGTCCTCGTCCTCGCGACTATCTCGCGTCTTCATCGCATGTGATTGACCCTTGTTATGTCACTTCACGTGTCAAGGACAACAAGCAGCGACAAGGTTTAGTTACTCTACGAAAACAATGCCAGCAGGCATTGTCGTGTAAGAAGATGCTGCGATAATGATGAGGAGGAGAATGAGAATTGTGATGATGATGATGGAGAGGAGGTGGAAGAGCACGACGAAGAGGAGGATGATCAAGATGATGATGAGAATGATATGATAATGATGATGGAGTTGCTGATGATGATGATGGAATTGCTGATGATGATGATGGAGATGAGGAGGAGGAGGAGGAGGAGGAGGAGGATGGAGATGATGATCATGGAGAGAATGATGATGTGGATGATGATGATGAATACATTGAGCCCTGATGTTTACGCAGGCAGCCTCGCACATTGTTCTTTGCTGCTCTCTCCACAGTCGGACTTGGACAGATTGGACTGTGGGGGAGGTGAGGAGAACTGGGAAGGGGGGGGGAGGGGGCAGGAGGAGGAGGGTGAAAGGATGGAGGATGGAGAGAGGGAGAAAGGGAGGGCAGGAAGAGGAAAGAGGAGGGAGAGAGGGAAAGTGGCGGGGAAAAAGCAAGGAAGTTTCGATAACGAAGATTTGCCACAGCATTTCAATTATCAACTTGCTCAATATGGATGTCAACATCTTAGGGGCAAGTTTGTTGATGAGTAAATGGTGGATCCTGTTGGGAGGAGGGATTTCAATAGGTGAGAAATTTTCTGTTCACGATGATACTTGTGAAAGAATGTGAGAATTTCGAGTTATCAACATCTGATAGATCAATGTTTAAGATGTTGTGTGACATGTTCCGAACATGTAACGTATCAACATCCATTCTTGAGCATGTTATGTATCAACTTGCATGTCAACATCGCTCTTGTTGCTTTTGTCTCGTTCCGTTCTCTCGCTAACAGCAGCTCCAGTCTTCACGTGGATGGTGAAATGGCACGCGGATCATCACATCGTGAAGATTGAGGTGAGGAAGGGGGAAGTTCAAGGAGGAGGAGAGCAGGAGCAGAGGTAGGCGAGGACAAGAGCAGGGGAGCAGGTGGATCGCAGGAGCAGGAGCGCGGGAGTAGGAGGGGAGCTAGGACAGCAGCAGCAAGGCAAGCGCTTCTCTAAAGGTTTGCAGGTCATTCCCCGCGACATCGATGAGATTTTCATCACATCACATACATCCTTAGGCGAGCAGCTTCCTACTTCTCTCCCCTCCCCTCCCCGCTCCTCCTCCCCTTCCCTCTCCTCCCCTCCCCTCCCTTTTCTACTCGTCCCATCTCCTCTCCTCGCCTCTCCTCGCCTCTCCTCTCCTCTCCTCTCCTCTCCTCTCCTCTCCTCTCCCTACTCTCCTCTCCTCTCCTCTCCTCTCCTCCTTCTCGTCTCTTTCTCTGTTCCTCATCGTTGGCTTTACAGGAGGAACGACCACCAAGAGCATCACCAGCTACGACATCCAACCTCTCAACTTTGCTGCCCAGCAGGTCCGAATCCTCCTGTCTGAGCTCCTCGCTCGCTCACTTCACTTTCTCCGCTGCATCTTCCCCCCCACTCCTTGCTCTTCTCTCCCCCTCCTTCCCCTCAATCTCTCCACCGCCGCCGCCTCCTCCCTCTCCTCCCCCCTCTCGTCCTCCTCCTCCTCCTCCTCCTCCTCACTTTCTTATCAGATCAACTCTACGGTGCGAGGGCTGAAGCTTCGGGGCGATCAGTTCAACTACATCATAGAGGAGGACGGCATGATCCATCATCCTCTTGTCCTCACCAGGATAGCCCGAGGCCTCCCTGCTAATGAACGACCCTGATCTTTCCGCTCCTCCCCCCAACCGATCGGACTTTCCTCCTCCTCCTCCTCCCCTCCCCGGTTCCCGGGGGGCCCCCACACAACCTCCTGCGGCTCCTCGTCGTACGGCAGCGACGGTCAGACGATCCGACTCGGGCCATTTCCAAAAGTTTACCTGCCGACGGCCGCCCCAGTCACTTCTCAGTGTCACGCGGCCATCGGCGCCGGGCCCCGGGCCCCGGGCCCGCCGCAGGGCCGGGCAGTGGGAGCCGGGTGGTGGCCGGTGGCCCCTCATCGTCAGTGAGCCCTAGGTGGGGGTCACCCCACCCTGCTGGGAATGATTCTCCGGAATGACCCCCCACCCCCTACTTTACTGCTAACTACCCCTTCGAATGCCTATTGATAGACCCCCTCATACACCAGTCTCCTGTTCCTCTCTCTGTTCCTCTCTCCTCTCTCCTGCTCTCTTCCTCTAGTCTTCTCTTGCTCTCTTCCTCTAGTCTTCTCTTGCTCTCTCCCTCTAGTCTTCTCTTGCTCTCTTCCTCTAGTCTTCTCTTGCTCTCTCCCTCTAGTCTAGTCTTGCTCTCTTCCTCTAGTCTTCTCTTGCTCTCTCCCTCTAGTCTTCTCTTTCTCTCTCCCTCTAGTCTAGTCTTGCTCTCTCCCTCTAGTCTTCTCTTTCTCTCTTCCTCTAGTCTAGTCTTGCTCTCTTCCTCTAGTCTAGTCTTGCTCTCTTTCTCTAGTCTTCTCTTGTCTCTTCCTCTAGTCTAGTCTTGATCTCTCCCTCTAGTCTTCTCTTGCTCTCTCCCTCTAGTCTTCTCTTTCTCTCTTCCTCTAGTCTAGTCTTGCTCTCTTCCTCTAGTCTAGTCTTGCTCTCTTCCTCTAGTCTAGTCTTGCTCTCTTCCTCTAGTCTAGTCTTGCTCTCTTCCTCTAGTCTAGTCCTTCTCTCTTCCTCTAGTCTAGTCTTGCTCTCTTTCTCTAGTCTTCTCTTGTCTCTTCCTCTAGTCTAGTCTTGATCTCTCCCTCTAGTCTAGTCTTGCTCTCTTCCTCTAGTCTAGTCTTGCTCTCTTCCTCTAGTCTAGTCTTGCTCTCTTCCTCTAGTCTTCTCTTGATCTCTTCCTCTAGTCTAGTCTTGCTCTCTTCCTCTAGTGTTGTCTTCTTATGTTAATCTTCTCCCTCCTCCTCTTCCTTCTTCATCCCCCGCTTCTCTAGTATGTCGGGGAATGACAGCAGGGTTGAGCTTCACCGTATCTGCGCGTGTTGTAATTCCTCCGACGCTGACGACCCGCCAAGCCGGCTCGATACAGATACTCTATTCAGCGGCGATCCTCCCTTCAAGGTGCTGTTCTTCGCCGACGCGGAGCAGCGATGCGGACTCAACGTCGAGGAGGAGAGAGACTTGATCAGAGACCGCTTCATGGCAGGAGCTCACGAGCAAGGAGACGCTGCGTTCATAGGGTTCGCCAAGAATGTTGTTTTCGAGTATTGCTTCAAGAAGAAGATCACCGACCTTGCCCGGGAGCTGAGCAGAGTAGAGCCAGTCGTCCTCCACCTTGCTTGCCATGGCTACCAAGACGGTAAGATCTGCATAGGCGGCAAGCATCATACCCCTCAAGAGCTCACCGATACACTGGCTGAGCTGGTGAAGGAGCACAGGTACCTGCGGCTGGTGGTGCTCAACTTGTGCTGGTCGGGTATCGTAGCGCAGGAGCTGATCAAGCATGTGGACTTTGTGATCGGGCATGAGACGGAAGTTCCTGACGAAGACGCGATCGACATGGCTAAGAGCCTCTACTACTGGATGGGTCGCAACTACCCGCTGCTCACAAACTTCAAGATCATGTCCCGCCCGTGCTGTCGCACAAGTCATCTTCTGGCTCGCGTCCCCAGCAACCCGCGTACCTGGAAGGCAGCTGGAGTAAATGCTTGCAAGAAGCTGCTTGTCAACAACAACAAACAGTCAGGCGCCGATGACGGTCAGCTTGTAGAGGACCTCAAGCAGGTGACGCAGGGTCTACGGCAAGTCATTGATGGGGAGCCAGCAGAGTCAGTGGACTCGGAAGGAGGATCGGAGGCAGAAGTTTTTGTGGCCGCGTATTGTGGTGAAGATGCGGAGGCGTTCAGAGATCGAGCGAGAGCAGCATGCAAGTACTTCCTCTCAAGCAGCAATCACGAGCTGCCGCGCTGGCGGATCTGCTCAGTGATCCTGATGTGTTTCTTACAGTACAAAGATGTATCGTTCGCTTCGCGAGTGATGCTGGGGAATTTCTACTCGATTGTCGAAGAGGAGCTTGTAGGACGCGAGTTTATCGAGGAGGTGATGAGCTACTTCAACGATAGAAGGATCTTCGCTCCCTCGTTCGAGGCTTGGAGGAACGAGTCTGGCCGGGAAGTGCCGAAAGAGAAGACGTGCATTGCGATCTTGGATTATACGATCGTGACTGAGCTACGCCGCGTCATCTCAGATGCCGACGAGCAGCGAGATGCTCTAGCCGTGTGGAAGCGACGAGTGCAAGATAAATGCTACGAGGCTTCCGTGTCGTCAGAGGAGGCGATGGACTTGATAGAGGGCCATCTCCGGAAGCAGAGCTACCTTCAAAACGGGCAGAAGCTGCTGTTCTACTGCTCTGTGCTGGACAAGGCAGTGGAGGTAGGAAGCTTCGTGATGCTGATGAAGATGACGAGACTGAGCGACATCTTCTTGTGCTGCTCGCTGCTGGAATACAACAAGCGCCGGGAGACCCAAGACTGCAAGACCAACGAGCTGGAGGGCTGGAGGACGTGGGTCAGCAGCTCTGGCTGGGTCGTTCACGATGAAGAGCAGGGGATGATGTGGAATGAGGTGGAGGAAGATTGGAGGGAGGAGATGGGAAAGGCCTTCGAAGACATGGAGCGAAGAGATCTGAAGGGCTTGAGGAGCGTTGGTGACTTCTTGCTTGGAAGCGATCGAGAAGTGAATCGTGAGAGGGAGGAAGCAGAAGGGAAGCAAGACTATAAGAAGCGCAGAGTCGAGGTAAAGCAAGAGAGTCCGGCTAAGGCCAGTGGCTCTCCAGGGAGCAGCAACAGCAAGAAGGATGTACCCGTAGGGTTCAGCAAGAAAGATTTCGAAGAGGCTGCTGATATCAAGGCAAGCGAAGGATGAGATTCCGTTTGTTGTCCTGACTTGGAGATTTGCTGGGCAGGTCAAGCTGGAGCAAGACCAATGGATGAGCTATGTAGAGGTAAGACGAAGATTTACTTGCAAGAGTCGGTCTTGACGTTTTATTTTGTCATGTTCGCTCCTTCAACTCTGCTTGGGTATAAACAGGAAATGACGGTAAACCATCAAACAACACATGCATCACATTTCGTACACCTCGAATCAGATGAGAGAAGAAGTCTATTCGAGACCATGACAGAAAGTCTTAGCTTGGGTTCATTGCTGACATCATAATTGTGGCATCACTTTGACTTGACTATCACGAGCCACATGTGAGGATAGGATGAGAGCTTGAGCGAAGGAGAGAGAGAGTGAAACCACACAAAGTCTTTCACCGGCTTTTAACTTCTAACGCTTTGTTTGATCATCCAGGGCAAAGTCGAAGAGGACGTTGATGACAAGCTTTCCTGGTGGAACAGCAGCGCTTCTGTCAAAAATGAGCCCTTGGTCGACCACAAGTCAGTTGGGGTACAAGACCAGCGACTCAGTAGCATGTGCGTCTGCTGCAACGACCAGCAGCTCGACCATGCAGCCGACGATACCAACGACTCTCTCTTCTCATGCGACCTCCCTCACAAGGTCCTCTTCTTCGCCGACGCGAAGGAGCGCAGCGACTTGGATGTAGAGCGGGAGAGGAAGGAGATCAGAGAGGAGTTTATGAAAGGAGCTCGCGACAAAGGAGACGCGGCGTTCATCAAGTTTGCTGAGAGCGTGAGCTTTGAGTCGAGCTTCTACCGGGACTTCGGAGACCTCATGTGTGAGATTGACGATCATCAGCCCGTCATCCTCCACCTGGCCTGCCATGGCACCGAGAGCGGCAACATCGAGATAGGAGGCAAGAGCATCTCCGCGGAGCAGCTTGCAAGGTCTCTGAGTCACGTGGTCAAGGGGAGCAAGAAGCTGCGTCTGGTGGTGCTCAACTTGTGCTGGTCGGGTATCGTAGCGCAGGAGCTGATCAAGCATGTGGACTTTGTGATCGGGCACGAGGCAGCAGTAGCAGACGAGGACGCGATCAAGTTCACCAAGAAGCTGTACTACTGGATGGGTCGGAACCTCTCGCTGCATGCGAATGTCAAGGACCTGTCTCGGTTTGCATGCCCTGAGAGTCACCTGCTGGCTCGGGTGTCGAGCGATGTGATCACATGGAGCAGACGGGAAGACACTCACGATCGACCACCAGGAGACGAGGGACCTCAGCGAAAGAAAGTCAAGACAGGAGGACTTGAACCTCATGATGAAGATCAAGACGGTCGCAAAATCGATGCAGCAGCTTGCGAGGCTGGTAGGAATGCTGTAGCACCAACAGAGGCAAGTATGGAGAAGCTGGGAGCTGACTCAGGCGATGTTGGAATGGCTCTGAAGAAGGAGCTTCAGGCAAACAAATCACTCTCGGGTGCTAGTGAAGGTCAAGAATCGAAAAGCTCAGAAGAGAAATCCAGCCATGTGTCGCCATCCAACCAGACCTCGAGCAGCTCCATGGCAAGACAGCACGTGATAGACCAACTGGAGCAAGCGAGCAGCGCGGAGGAGATCGTGAGAATCTTGAAGGAGCTGCAAAGACCTGAAAACAAGGGCAAGATGAAACGGAGAGAAATAGAGCTTGTCATAAGAACAATGGGAAAGAAGAATGTGAAGGCTCATCCATTGAGAAAGGATATACAGGTGATCGCATGCAAAATACTGGGAAACCTGGCAAAGACAAACATCAAATCAAGGGTGGAAATTGCAAAGCACAAAGGTATCGAGGCCGTGCTCGCAGCCATGCAAGCACATCCCGCCAGCCTGGATGTACAGCAGCAAGCGTGCAGGGCGCTGCGGAGCCTGGCTGTCATCAACGACATCCATGTCAAGATGGCGGGGCTGGGGGGCATCGAGGCCGTGCTCGCAGCCATGCGCGCACATCCCGCCAGCCTGGATGTACAGCAGCACGCGTGCGGGGCGCTGACAAGCCTGGCTGTCAACAACGACAACCAGGTCAAGATCGCGGGGCTCGGGGGCATCGAGGCCGTGCTCGCAGCCATGCGCGCACATCCCGCCAGCCAGCCCGTACAGCAGCTCGCGTGCGGGGCGCTGCGGAGCCTGGCTGGCATCGACGACAACCGTGTCAAGATCGCGGGGCTCGGGGGCATCGAGGCCGTGCTCGCAGCCATGCGCGAACATCCCTTCAGCCAGTCCATACAGCAAGACGCGTGCGGGGCGCTTGGGAGCCTGGCTGTCAACGACGACAACCGTGTCAAGATCGCGGGGCTCGGGGGCATCAAGGCCGTGCTCGCAGCCATGCGCAAACATCCCGCCAGCCAGTCCATACAGCAGCACGCGTGCGGGGCGCTGGGCAGCCTGGCTGTCAACGCCGACATTCGTGTCAAGATCGCGGGGCTCGGGGGCATCGAGGCCGTGCTCGCAGCCATGCGCGCACATCCCGCCAGCCAGCCTGTACAGCAGCAGGCGAGCGGGGCGCTGCGGAGCCTGGCTGTCAACGCCGACAACAAGGTCAAGATCGCGGGGCTCGGGGGCATCGAGGCCGTGCTCGCAGCCATGCGCGCACATCCCGCCAGCCTGGATGTACAGCAGCAGGCGTGCAGGGCGCTACGGAGCCTGGCTTTCGAAGAAAACAACGAGGTCAAGATCGCGGGGCTCGGGGGCATCGAGGCCGTGCTCGCAGCCATGCGTGCACATCCCGCCAGCCAGCCCGTACAGGAGAACGCGTGCGGGGCGCTGACAAGCCTGGCTGTCAACGCCGACAACCGTGTCAAGATCGCGGGGCTCGGGGGCATCGAGGCCGTGCTCGCAGCCATGCGCGCACATCCCGCCAGCCTGGACGTACAGCAGCACGCATGCAGGGTGCTGACAAGCCTGGCTGTCAACGCCGACAACCGTGTCAAGATCGCGGGGCTCGGGGGCATCGAGGCCGTGCTCGCAGCCATGCGCGAGCATCCCGCCAGCCAGTCCATACAGGATTTGGCGACCTGGAGAATTTTGACCTTAAATGTCGACGCCCAAAGGCATGTCAAGATCGCGGGGCTCAGGGGCATCGAGGCCGTGCTCGCAGCCATGCGTGCACATCCCGCCAGCCAGGATGTACAGCAGCAAGCGTGCGGGGCGCTGGGGAACCTGGCTGTCAACGACGACAACAAGGTCAAGATGGCGGGGCTGGGGGGCATCGAGGCCGTGCTCGCAGCCATGCGCGCACATCCCGCCAGCCTGGATGTACAGCAGCAGGCGTGCGGGGCGCTGTCAAGTCTGGCTGCCAACGCCGACAACCGTGTCAAGATCGCGGGGCTCGGGGGCATCGAGGCCGTGCTCGCAGCTATGCGCGCACATCCCGCCAGCCAGCCCGTACAGGAGAACGCGTGCTGGACGCTGCGAAGCCTGGCTATCAACGCCGACAACGAGGTCAAGATCGCGGGGCTCGGGGGCATCGAGGCCGTGCTCGCAGCCATGCAAGCACATCCCGCCAGCCAGCCCGTACAGCAGCTCGCGTGCGGGGCGCTGGGGAACCTGGCTGTCATCAACGACAACCAGGTGAAGATCGCGGGGCTCGGGGGCATCGAGGCCGTGCTCGCAGCCATGCGCGCACATCTCGCCAGCCTGGATGTACAGCAGCACGCGTGCGGGGCGCTGGGCAGCCTGGCTATCAACGACGACAACCGTGTCAAGATCGCGGGGCTCGGGGGCATCGAGGCCGTGCTCGCAGCCATGCGCGCACATCCCGCCAGCCAGCCCGTACAGCAGCTCGCGTGCGGGGCGCTTGGGAGCCTGGCTATCAACGCCGACAACGAGGTCAAGATCGCGGGGCTCGGGGGCATCGAGGCCGTGCTCGCAGCCATGCAAGCACATCCCGCCAGCCAGCCTGTACAGCAGCAGGCGTGCAGGGCGCTGACAAGCCTGGCTATCAATGCCGACAACCGTGTCAAGATCGCGGGGCTCGGGGGCATCGAGGCCGTGCTCGCAGCCATGCGTGCACATCCCGCCAGCCAGCCCGTACAGCAGCACGCGTGCGGGGCGCTGACATGCTTGGCTATCAACTCCCAAAGCCGTGTCAAGATCGCGGGGCTCGGGGGCATCGAGGCCGTGCTCGCAGCCATGCAAGCACATCCCTTCAGCCAGCCCGTACAGGAGCAGGCGTGCGGGGCGCTTGGGAGCCTGGCTGTCAACGATGACAACGAGGTCAAGATCGCGGGGCTCGGGGGCATCGAGGCCGTGCTCGCAGCCATGCGCAAGCATTGCAGGAGCGAGAAACTACTTGTTGAGGCCATCAGCCTTCTGGCACGTTTTGATTCAAATATAATCAGCAAGGTCCAATTTTTTCCGATATGTCTTAGCTTAATGTACTTTTTCTGTCTTGCAGAGCCGGCTGATAGAGTCTCGTGTGAGAGATCTTGTCTCCGATGCCATGAACAGCTTCAAGCAGAATACCATCATACAAGAGAAGGGCAAGATTGTTCTAGAAGCGCTGCAATGACGTTGTCGATCATTGTAGCATGCTGATGTACACAAATCAAGCTATGTAATGCTGTCATCAATACAGCGCCAATCACACTGCTGGTAGTGTAAGGAAAACGCGATATGTCTTAAAGCAATGTGCACCAGGTTTACACGTGTACATGCTGTATTGTTACGATTGATTACATACGAGGCACAATACCTGTTATGACTTTTGCTAAACTCACCATCTGACCATTACCGCAGTCATCCTACAAGCTCGTCTCCTGGGGTTGAACACTTCACCAATTCTCAACGTAAATCACATGCTCTATGCCGGAATCATCAAATATCGTAAACCCTAAGCACGAGTTCTCAGGTGCGGGGATGATCCAAAGGCGTTCGAAGCAGAACAAGCAGCAGCAGCATTGTTCAGGATATCTACACTCTATAGCATCAGAGGTTGTTGAAGATATCATCTGCAATCATGAGATCGCAAGTCTGCGATCTGAATGACAAGTCAGTGGTAGTCAGACAAACTTAAAGCAATGGAAATCTCCTCCTCCTCCTCCTCGTCCTGCCGCTCCTCTCGATCCTCCTGCTCCTCGTCCTGCTGATCCTCTATTGCCTGGCTCCTTTCATTTGCTGATCACTCTTGTTTTCTAACCATAGAAGACTCATACATCCAGGTCCTCGAGCCTGCAGAACGTACCCCTCCTCCCTCCAGCCTGCAGAGCGTACCCCTCCTCCCTCCAGCCTGCAGAACTTACCCCTCCTCCCTCGAGCCTGCAGAACGTACCCCTCCTCCCTCCAGCCTGCAGAGCGTACCCCTCCCTCCCTCCAGCCTGCAGAACCTACCCCTCCTCCCTCCAGCCTGCAGAACCTACCCCTCCCTCCCTCCAGCCTGCAGAACGTACCCCTCCCTCGGCTCTAAGGTTCTTCCTGCTCTCTGTCTTTCATCTTTTCTTCTTCACCTCCATCTCGAGGGTGTAGATTCGACTAGCAGCTCGTTGTAGCGCAGACTCCTGACAAACGACCGTGAGAGAAAGTAAAATGAAGTCAAAAAGAAACCCTCTCCTCCTGCTCTGATTCTTCTACTCTTCTCTCCTCTCCTCCTCCTCTCTCCTCCCCTCCTTCCTCCTCCTCTCTCCTTTCCCTACACCCTTCCCCATCTCCTTGCTCCTCTCATGCCCTCTCCCCTCCCTTCTCTCCCTCCTCCCTCCTCTCCTCTCCTCTCCCTTCCCCCTCTCCTCCTCTTCCTCCTCCTATCCCCTCTCCCCTCCCCTCCCTCCTCTCCTCACCAGACTCTTCACCACGTTCACCTTCTGCAGCGCAACCGTCACTGACGTCAGCAGCTCCTCCCCCTCGTCGCACCTCCTCCATCACTTCATTCCGCTGCTGCCTCGCCTCCAGCTTCTCCTCCAGCTCCTTCAACCTGCTCCCGCCCGGCCCCGTCAGCTCCTGCAGGACGGCAGAGCCGTCGGACCTCTGCGAGCTCGAGGGCAGGCAGATCTCGAAGACGTTGTCGCGCGCCTGCGAGGAGGAGGAGGTGAGCGACAGGACGAGAGGAGCTGAAGATGCAGGTGGGGGAGAGAGAGGAAGGGAGGGGGGAGAAAGCGAGAGAGGAAGGGAGGCAGAGAGAGGAAGGGAGGGGGGAGAGGAGGAGAGGAGGAGAGGAGGAGAGGAACAGCACATCAGGGAGCAGGAGCAGCTACGTCCAGCAGAAGCAGGAGGTGAGAGAAATAGAGATAACACCAGCACCCAGCAGGAATCGAGCAGCAGTAGCGAGATGCAAATGCAGAGAACAAGGGAACAGGAGGAGGAGGTGGTGGAGGTGGAGAAGGAGGAGGAGAAGGAGGAGGAGAAGGATGCAGGAGGATGGAGGAGGAGGATGGAGGAGGAGATGGAGGAGGAGGAGACGACTGACTCTGTTGAAGAGCAAGTGATATTCACGGACGAGGTTCTGATATTTCGCCTGATGGTAAGACTGCAAGACAACCTATCAGCTCTCACCAAGACATCTACTACATCTCACGTAGACGTTCTTCAAGCTCTCTATCAATCCCTCCTGCTCACAATGTCATGCCTTGAAGCTCCAACCCCTGCTCATGTCGAATATCTTTGCCTGTTTCACAATCATCCCCTCAAGCTTTGAAATCTGCTCGTCGACATCTGCAGACAGGTTTCAAACCTTGGCCCTTCTTCTACCTCTCCCTCTCTGCCTCCCCCAGGGTTTCTCCCCTCCTCCTCACCGAGCTGCAGGGTCATCAGCACATGGAGAGCACGCGTCAAACACGAGATCTCGTCTGTGATGGTAGTCGTCATCCATCGCGATCCTCCTGACCTCTCTCTCTCCCCTCACCTCGAAGATGAGAGTTGTGCTTTGTGTAAGAAGACATCTTCTTCTCGCTCTGTTGTCTGTGGTTCAGCTAGTGCGGCCACGAGCACATCAGTCTCGACACGACATGTACCTGACGTAGTTCCTTCAAAGTGTGGGAGATTCTCTCTTCAGATTGCTGCTCCCATCGTCAGCATTGTAATCATCATCATCTCCATCATCATCATCTCCATCATCATCTCCATCATCATCCATCATCTCCATCATCGTCGTCATCATTTGAATTATCATCATCGTAATCATCGTCATCTGAATCTGCATCTACATTATCTCCATCATCATCATCTCCATCATCATCATCATCATTATCATCATCACCATCGTCATCATCATCACCATCGTCATCATCTCCATCTCCATCATCGTCGTCATCATCTCCATCCGTGCAATCATCATTCATGCCTCCTTGCACGTCACCTTCAGTCTCTCTTCCATCGCCTCAGCATACTCATCTTTCTCTTGTTGAAACTGTCTTATCTGACAGCACTCCCTCATCACCACAGCCTTTCTTCATCCCAACACTCTACCAGCTCTACAATCTTGCCGTCTGAAGCAGCTTTCCCTTCCCTCATCTCCGCATACTCCACCTTCGCTCTCTCGTTACCACAACAACATGTCCTCTCCTCCCGCACAAGACCTGCAGCCCCCGCATATCCTCCTGCAAGCTCTCCAAGACGTTGCTCAAGATCTCATTCTTCTGCTGTAAGACCTGATTGTCTTGTCGCGCCTTCTCCAGCTCCTCTACGTTGACCTCCTGCACACCAACAACACCCTCGTCTCATCCTCCGCACCCTTCACCTCTCCTCCACCTCACCCGCATGCTCTCTGATGTTTGTAGCTTCTGTTCGACCTCCTTCATCGCTTCTTCCGCTTCCTCCAGCTTTTGTTCCTTGCAGACACGCAACTTCACACGCGCGTCTCGCCCAGCAAGACAGGCAGTATGAGGTATCACATGCAACAAGCTTGAGCTCCTCAGGTCCTCGACCTGCTGACGGCAGAGCTGACGCGCTCATGTCAGCTGGGGTGTGCGGTGTACTTGTCAAGTCACGTTGAGGTCGTGAAGAGCTCTTGCGATCTGCTCTCCTTGCTGCGTTTCTATCTGCCTCCTGCTCTCCATCTCTCCCTCCATCTCCTCCAGCCTCCCATTCAGCCTTGTCTTGTCTTCTTCCAGCCCGTCGCCTCTGTTGCAGCCGTAACCTCGAACTAGCGGCTGCAACGGCAATCGATCGCACCTTGACGTCTGCTGCTCGACCTCGAGCTCGAGGCCTTTCAGTCGCTCGATCTCCTGCTGCATCGACTCGTTTGAAGCCTTCACCTCCCTCAGCTTGCTCTGCTCCAGCATGTCACCAGCTCTACAAGCATCCACCCACTGCTCCTCCTCCTGCTTCTCCACCTGCTGCTGCTGCTGCTGCTGCTGCTGCTGCTGCTGCTGCTGCTGCTGCTGCTGCTGCTGCTGCTGCTGCTGCTGCTGCTGCTGCTGCTGCTGCTGCTGCTGCTGCTGCTGCTGCTCATCATCATAATCATAATCATCTCCTGCCTAGCTGCTGCTGCTGCTGCTGCTGCTGCTGCTGCTGCTCATCATTTCCTGCCTATCTCCTCCCTCTCGTCCTCCTCCAGCTAAGTCGCCGCACAGCACGCAAGGAGCGCAGACTCGCCTTGAGACAAGCGACGCGGCCTTGCGACTCTTCTCGCAGCCTCTTCATCTCTTGCTTGTGACGGCTGATCATTCCTCGCCATCACAAGCTTATCACCCCTGCCGCCACCAACTCACTCCTCCTGCATCTTCAGCACTTGAGTCATGTCAAACGACTTGTTCTCCTCTGCCTGCAGGCTTGCAGACCTGTACAGCCATGTCAGCTCCGGCAAGCGCTTCTTGCCATGCAGCAGCATGTCAGCCCTGTAGACAGAGCAAGCACACGGCATTGCTCGTGCAAGCAGCTTCCTGTCGCACCTCAGCTTCTCTTCCAGCATCTTCATCTTGGTCTGCTCGCTCACAAGCTGCAGCACCTCCATCAGCATCGTCTCCGCCACAGCCGTCGACCTCGTCACCTGTTGCTCTAGCGCTGAGATCCTGACCATGCTCTTGAGATCCTTGCACGACATCTCGCGTATCCTCGACATCCACCATGACTCCTGCTCGGTCGCGAGGACCGCGGAGATCGTCTGCTCGCGATGCTTGTGCGTCAGCAGCACCTCGAGAGGGCAAGCAGGCGTCACCTTGGAGAGGCAGCTTGCCTTTGCTCTTCTCTTGTCCGTCACACAGTCATAGGACATGCGGGAGCTGCTCAGGAGACGTGAGCAGCAGATGAGACGATGGCGAGGAGCTCACCGGTCGAGGGAGTTGTTTCCTCTCATCGCTACGGCTCTCGACTCGTTCATCTAGCAGCCTCTCTCAGCTCTCACAAGATCATCTAGACAGTAAGCTAGCCCATGCTCTATGTCCTCTGCCCTATACTCCATACCTCCTCCAATCCCCTCCCCCTCCATGCATCACTCCAGGTTTATTGACTGAAAAAGAAGGGCAAACCGAAGCAAACAAAGGAGGGGGAGGATAAAGCCTACAAACCCGCCTCAATAAAATACTAGGAAACGAAGGAGACAGCGAAAACCGGCACTCCAACCACGTAAGCGACGGCATGCACGACAAGCAGGGGAACAAGGATCAGGACAAAGAGCAGTAGCGCAAGGCCCCTGCGAGGAGGACGGCAAGACCCATACGAGAGCGATACTGCCGAAACAGGCGAGCACGCAAACGATGAAAGCCAGGGTCCCCATACACCGCCTCCTGAGCGCATCCATCCCACTCCGCTGTCAGCGTAGCTCCATGGTGATCCGCCAGGTACCAGAGAAACCGCAAAGCGTCAGCATGAAGAAGACCATCCGTACCTGCAGTGAAGGGAAGAAAGGCCTTCGGCGGGTGATGGGTGCCATAACTGGCGCGATGATCCGAAATCTTCTGTTGGGCGGGGCCGGAGAGCGCAGAAAGTCCGACGGGGCTGCCGCTGCTGTTGTAGGGATGTGTCATCGTGAAGTCCAGAACCAGCCCATTCCAGGTGTGGGTGGAGAGGCCAGGGAGCCAAAGGTCGCCCATGTGTCGGTTGGTGGGGCCATGCTGAGGAACAAGGGTCCGGGTGTGTCGCAGTCCCTGTTGATGGAGCTTCGTGACGATACCAGCCTCCACACAAATGTCGCGAAGAACCACAGTGCACTGCTCATGTGCAGTGGTCCAGAGAGCAGTGCGATGACGACAATTGGCCAGATGAGAGACACTGCTTCCCGCCGATGGATCCAGAGCTGTAGCACAACGATCACAGGTGGGAGGCAGCCTAGCCGGGGGTAGCCCATGCTAGTCATCACTGAGTGATGACTACCTTTTCATTCATCCTTCAGGACCCCACCCCCCTCCGCCTTCTTGATCTTTCGATCAAGAAATTCTCATTTGAATTAATACATGAAATCTTCAAAGATTCAGACAAAAGCTGCTGGGAATCTATTTCATGCCCCCCCCGAATACTGAATATAATTTGATTGGCGCTCTCGTGGCAGCCGCTGCCCATGCTCAGAGGTCATCGCAGCAGGAGCTCATGGCATGTCTGACGCTCTAGCGCCTTCCCTCCTCTTCCTCCCCCATGACCTGACAGACCATGACTAGTACGCTCAGCAAGATCTGCGTCTGCTGCAACGACCAGCAGCTCGACCATGCAGCAGACGATACGAACGACTCTCTCTTCTCATGCGACCTCCCTCACAAGGTCCTCTTCTTCGCCGACGCGAAGGAGCGCAGCGACTTGGATGTAGAGCGGGAGAGGAAGGAGATCAGAGAGGAGTTTATGAAAGGAGCTCGCGCCAAAGGAGACGCGGCGTTCATCAAGTTTGCTGCGAGCGTGAGCTTTGAGTCGAGCTTCTACCGGGACTTCGAAGACCTCATGTGTGAGATTGACGATCATCAGCCCGTCATCCTCCACCTGGCCTGCCATGGCACCGAGAGCGGCAACATCGAGATAGGAGGCAAGAGCATCTCCGCTGAGCAGCTTGCAAGGTCTCTGAGTCACGTGGTCAAGGGGAGCAAGAAGCTGCGTCTGGTGGTGCTCAACTTGTGCTGGTCAGGTATTGTAGCGCAGGAGCTGATCAAGCATGTGGACTTTGTGATCGGGCACGAGGCAGCAGTAGCAGACGAGGACGCGATCAAGTTCACCAAGAAGCTGTACTACTGGATGGGTCGGAACCTGTCGCTGCATGCGAATGTCAAGGACCTGTCTCGGTTTGCATGCCCTGAAAGTCACCTGCTGGCTCGGGTGTCGAGCGATGTGATCACATGGAGGAGACGGGAAGACACTCACGATCGACCGCAAGGAGACGAGGGTCCTCAGCGAAAGAAAGTCAAGACAGGAGGACTTGAACCTCATGATGAAGATCAAGACGGTGACAAAATCGATGCAGCAGCTTGCGAGGCTGGTAGGAATGCTGTAGCACCAACAGAGGCAAGTATGGAGAAGCTGGGAGCTGACTCAGGAGGTGTTGAAATGGCTCTGAAGAAGGAGCTTCAGACAAACAAGTCAGACTCGGGTGCTGGTCAAGGATCGAAAAGCTCAGAAGAGAAATCCGGCCATGTGTCGCCATCCAACCAGACCTCGAGCAGCTCCATGGCAAATGCTTGCGTGATAGACCAACTGGAGCAAGCGAGCAGCGCGGAGGAGATCGTGAGAATCTTGAAGGAGCTGCAAAGACCTGGAAACAAGGGCAAGATGCAACGGATAGGAATAGAGCTTGTCATAAGAGCAATGGGAAAGAAGAATGTGAAGACCCATCAATTGAGTGAGGATGTACAGGTAACCACGTGCAAAATACTGGGAGAACTGGCAAAGACAAACATCAAATCAAGCGTCAAAATTGCGAAGCACAAAGGTATCGAGGCCGTGCTCGCTGCCATGCGTGCACATCCCGCCAGCCAGCCTGTACAGCAGCAGGCGTGCGCGGCGCTGCGGGGCCTGGCTGTCAACGACGACAACCAGGTCAAGATCGCGGAGCTTGGGGGCATCGAGGCCGTGCTCGCTGCCATGCAAGCACATCCCGCCAGCCAGGATGTACAGCAGCAGGCGTGCGCGGCGCTATGGAAACTAACTTGCAGCGCCGACAACCGTGTCAAGATCGCGGGGCTCGGGGGCATCGAGGCCGTGCTCGCTGCCATGCGTGCACATCCTGACAGCCAGGACGTACAGAAGCACGCGTGCAAAATGCTTTGCAACCTGGCTCTCAACGCCGACAACCGTGTCAAGATCGCGGGGCTCGGGGGCATCGAGGCCGTGCTCGCAGCCATGCAAGCACATCCCGCCAGCCAGCCTGTACAGCAGCAGGCGTGCGGGGCGCTTTGGAGCCTTGCTGCCAACGCCGACAACCAGGTCAAGATCGCGGGGCTCGGGGGCATCGAGGCCGTGCTCGCAGCCATGCAAGCACATCCCGCCAGCCAGCCCGTACAACAGCAGGCATGCGGGACGCTTTTCAACCTGGCTGTCAACGCCGACAACCGTGTCAAGATCGCGGAGCTCGGGGGCATCGAGGCCGTGCTTGCAGCCATGCAAGCACATCCCGCCAGCCAGGACATACAGCAGCAGGCATGCTGGGTGCTATGGAGCCTTGCTGCCAACGCCGACAACAAGGTCAAGATCGCGGGGCTCGGGGGCATCGAGGCCGTGCTCGCAGCCATGCGTGCACATCCCGCCAGCCAGCCCGTACAACAGCAGGCATGCGGGGCGCTTTGCAACCTGGCTCTCAACGCCGACAACCAGGTCAAGATCGCGGGGCTCGGGGGCATCGAGGCCGTGCTCGCAGCCATGCAAGCACATCCCGCCAGCCAGCCCGTACAGCAGCAGGCATGCTGGGTGCTATGGAGCCTTGCTACCAACGCCGACAACCGTGTCAAGATCGCGGGGCTCGGGGGCATCGAGGCCGTGCTCGCAGCCATGCAAGCACATCCCGCCAGCCAGCCCATACTGCAGCAGGCATGCAGGGCGCTATGGGTTCTTGCTGTCATCGCCGACAACCGTGTCAAGATCGCGGAGCTCGGGGGCATCGAGGCCGTGCTCGCAGCCATGCGCAAGCATCCCGCCAGCCAGGATGTACAGCAGCAGGCATGCGGGGCGCTATGGAGCCTTGCTGCCAACGCCGACAACCAGGTCAAGATCGCGGGGCTCGGGGGCATCGAGGCCGTGCTCGCAGCCATGCAAGCACATCCCGCCAGCCAGCCTGTACAGCAGCAGGCGTGCGGGGCGCTTTGGAACCTGGCTTTCCACGCTGACAACCAGGTCAAGATCGCGGGGCTCGGGGGCATCGAGGCCGTGCTCGCAGCCATGCAAGCACATCCCGCCAGCCAGCCTGTACAGCAGCAGGCGTGCTTGGCGCTATGGAGCCTGGCTGCCAACGCCGACAACCAGGTCAAGATCGCGGAGCTCGGGGGCATCGAGGCCGTGCTCGCAGCCATGCGTGCACATCCCGTTAGCCAGCCCGTACAGGGGCCTGCGTGCGGGGCAATAGCCACCCTTGCTGCCAACGCCGACAACCAGGTCAAGATCGCGGGGCTCGGGGGCATCGAGGCCGTGCTCGCAGCCATGCAAGCACATCCCGCCAGCCAGCCTGTACAGCAGCAGGCGTGCGGGGCGCTTTGGAACCTGGCTTTCCACGCTGACAACGAGGTCAAGATCGCGGGGCTCGGGGGCATCGAGGCCTTGCTCGCAGCCATGCAAGCACATCCCGCCAGCCAGCCAGTACTGCAGCAGGCATGCAGGGCGCTGTGGGTTCTTGCTGCCAATGCCAACATCTCTGGCAAGATCGCGGGGCTCGGGGGCATCGAGGCCGTGCTCGCAGCCATGCAAGCACATCCCGCCAGCCAGGATGTACAGCAGCAGGCGTGTAGGGCGCTATGGGTTCTTGCTTGCATCGCGCACAACCGTGTCAAGATCGCGGGGCTCGGGGGCATCGAGGCCGTGCTCGCAGCCATGCGCGCACATCCCGCCAGCCAGCCTGTACAGCAGCAGGCGTGCAGAATGCTTTGCAACCTGGCTGCCAACGCCGACAACCGTCTCAAGATCGCGGGGCTCGGGGGCATCGAGGCCGTGCTCGCAGCCATGCAAGCACATCCTCACAGCCAGGATTTACTGGTTGAGGCTGTATCATATCTAGCACTGTTGGATGTAGATGCAATTGGAAAGGTCGTTTATTTTTATATCCTTGAGCCTAGTTTGACATTGTTCATGCAGAGCCGGCTGATGGAGTCTCGTGTGAGAGATCTTGTTGCTGATGCCATGAACAGCTTCAAGCAGAATACCATCATACAAGAGAAGGGCAAGATTGTTCTAGAAATGATTCACGATTTCAATGTTTCAGTGTCTTGAGGTCTGCAGCGAAGACAATAAACTTCCTTCTGCATGGACTGTTGATTTCGCAGATACTCTTGGTTGGTTGAAGGCAGCACGCATCACTCATACAATCATATGAAACATTGTTTAGATGCATTTTCTTACAGTCATGAATTGACGAAGTTCGGCACGTCACGATATCCTGGCTGAAGGGCTGCAGCAAGGGTATGCCATACAAGAGTAGCCAACAAATGCGATGTAAGTCCCTACAAGAGTGTCACCATTCAAGTCATAGATCCAACGTTGAGCTGAGGTGCGAAACTTTGTGGAGTGTTGATGAAACATTCCCGCACCTCAGCTGTGCGGGGAAGGGCGTTTACTGCATTTGGTGCTTCTTTTGTTTTGTCTTAGTGTTTCCCGGTTCCTACGTTTCTTGGTCTGCTGCAATCGCTTCCATGTCTGCTTCTCTTTCTGTTCTTTGCGTTGAGTTATAGATCCGCCAGTTTGATGGGGAGGACAGTGCGGATGATTCAAGTGAAGGAGAGGAGAGGACGAGATGCGATGGAGATCAGCAAGAGAAGAAAGAGCCTTGTCCTCGTCCGCGCGACTATCTCGCGTCTTCATCGCATGTGATGGACCCTTGTCATGTCACTTCACGTGTCAAGGACAACAAGCAGCAACAAGGAGCGAAGAAAAGATGGAAAGATGATGACGGTGATGATGATGATGATGACGATGACGATGACGATGATGATGATGATGATGATGATTGATGATCATTGATGGTGGCAAGAAGGATGAGGCCGACGATGGGAAGGTTGCGCAGGGTGTCCTGAAAGATTCAAGTAGCAGCAGCAGCAGCAGCAGCAGCAGCAGCAGCAGCATTGTTCAGTATATTTACACTCTATAGCATCAGAGGTTGCTGACTTGTAGATTTCATCTGCAATGTTGAGATCGCAGGTCAGCAATCTGAATGACAAGTCAGATTGCGGTCAGACAAGCTGAAAGGAATCCAAGGACTCCTGCTGCTGCTGCTGCTCCTCCTCCTCCTGCTCCTCGTCCTGCCGCTCCTCTCGATCCTCCTGCTCCTCGTCCTGCTGATCCTCTATTGTCTGGCTCCTTTCATTTGCTGATCACTCTTGTTTTCTAACCATAGAAGGTGTCAGGTAACTGAGGTTAGCCACGTGAACGGCAG